CCTTCCATTGAGCACTCAGGGTTGATTTCCTTCAGAACAGATAGGTTTGATCTTCTTGCAGTCCAGGGGACTCTCAAGAGTCTCCTCCAGCACCACAATTCTCCTCCTGTCACCATCTGCTGTGATCATGGAGAGCAGGAAAGTAAAATCTGTCACTACTTCCATATCTTCCCCTTCTATTTGCCAGGAGGGGAGGGAACCAGAAGCCATGATGTTGAGCTTCAGACCATCTCCCCTTTCACCCTCATTCCTCCTCACTTTCTGCCATCAGAGTGGTATCGTCTCAAGGTTACTGATATTTCTTCTAGCAATTCTTAATTCCAGCTTGGGATTCGTCCAGTCCTGCCTTTTCACATGATGTATTCTGTATATAAGTTAAATAAGCAGGGAGGCAATATACAGCCTTGTCGTATTCCTTTCCCACCTTTGAACCATTCAATTGTTCCATATCCAGTTCTAATTGTTGCTTCCCATCCCACATATAGATTTCTCAGGAGATAGATACGGTGATCAGGCACTCCCATTTCTTTCCCAAACTTGCCATATTTGCTGTGCTCCACACAGTAAAAGGCTTTTGCGTAGTCAATGAAGCAGAAGTAGATGTTTTTCTGGAACACTCTGGCTTTCTCCATAATCCAGTGCCTAAATCATCTTAGGTTGAAAGGGAAAAAAGAAAAAAATCATCCCCTAGTGGTAGGAACGGATTAACCGGCTTTGCATTAGTTCCTATGGGAACTAATGATTCGAGTTACAAACCGCCCCTCGACCTAAGAACCAAAAACAGCCGGAACGAATTAATTGGTTTTCAATGCATTCCTATGGGAAATGCTGATTCAAACTTTTCGACTTAGAAACTTCCTTCCGGAATGGATTAATTGTAAGTCAAGGGTTGACTGTACCTGTTGTTCCTTTTATCCATATGACTTTTGCATTCCAGTTCCCTATAATGACAAAAACAGCTTTCTTTGGTGTCAGTTCTAGAAGGTGTTGTAAATCTTCATAAAATTGGTCAATTTCAGTCTCCTCAGCATTGGTGGTTGGTGCATAAACTTGGATTACTGTGGTGTTGAAAGGTCTGCCTTGGACTCGCATTGAAATCATTCTATCATTTTTGAGACTATCCCAGTATAGCTTTTCCCACTCTTTTGTTGACTGTGAGGGCTACTCCATTCCTTCTGCAGGATTCTTGCCCACAATAGTAGATATGATAATCGTCTGAATTGAATTCGCCCATTCCCGTCCATTTTAGTTCACTGACACCCAGGATGTCAATGTTTATTCTTGCCATCTCCTTTTTGACCACATCCAGCTTACCAAGGTTCATAGATCTTACATACTAGGTTCCTATGCAGTATTTTTCTTTGCAGCATCAGACTTTCCTTTCACTTCCAGGCGTGTCTGCAGGTGAGCGTCCTTTCGGCTTTGGCCTGACCACAGTATCTCCTAACAGTATCTCTGTCTTATATAGATTCAGTTTCTGTGCATTGACCCTCATCCTGTCCATTATGAATTTTAGGCAGTTCTCCAGGGCCTGTACAGCATCAACTGCAAATAAAACAAAGGAGAGAGAGGACTGTGTGTCATCAGCATACTGCAAGTTCCAAACCTCCATATGACTTTTCCCACCAGCTTTGTATATATGTTTAAAAGCATTGGGGAGATGATTGACACATGTGGGACTTCATAGCAGAGGTCCCAAGGAGTGGAGACAGCATCTCCAAGCTGTACCATCTGGGATACGCCATTAAGAAAGAACTGGAACCAGCGGAGAACAGAACCCGTGATCCCTAAGCTTGGTAGCCATATCAGAAGGATACCATGGTTGACAGTATCAAAGACCGCAGAAAGATCCAAAAGGACTGACCGGGTTACCTCCCTGTCTCCCCTGTCTACCTCCCTTAGGAAATAATCTTTCAGGGCAACCAGTGTTGTTTCATTACCATTCCACAGCCTAAATCCAAAGTGAAATAGATCCAGACTATCAGTTTCTTCCAAGAACACCTGTAACTGATCAACCACCATGTACTGGGATTGTTGAGAACAGTGCAGATGTGAGTTTCTGAAATGTTAACCAGATGGGTCCTTTTTTAAGGAGAAAGGTGGGATACAAATATTTTAAAAAATATTAAATACATGTAATAATATCTTATTAGCTTCAGGAAAAGGAGTCTCTTATAGTTCCTACATGCTAAATTGTGGTTTAGAAAGCTGGAGACAAGAATTTTACCTGCATAACTCCCCCCACACACACACACACACCATTCCTCTCCATTTACACTGATTTCAGAACTTTAGTCTTGTCCTGTTTAAGTCACAGTTCCCCATTACAGACATAATGGAAAACCCGGGTTCAAATAGGCCATGACTGAAATTGCAAAACGATCAGACAAGATTACTGCATGCAGTCCTGATATGTGTTGTCATCTTTTTGAACTATAGATTAGAAATATGGAATCATTAATTCACACTGATTAAAAATGTGCTAAATTGCCTAAGTCCATAAGCAATTTTAGATTGTGACTTTTATGAAGTGACCTTCCGTAAGAGATAAATTGCATCTAAATGTTGGGCATCTTAATGTATTGGTAGCTTGTGTGCTACATTAGGCAAAATAATTCCTTTGAAGTTTTGGCTAACATTTGTCGAACAGTGCAATGTTTCACAGATAGGCACTGAACATTAACAAGTATTCTTTTGGCACATAGCTTCATTTTAAAAGGTGAGACTTTCAGTCTATACATTCACATTTTCTTGAAAAGAAAGAATACATGTAGGGATTGCTGCTCATCCTACAGAGCAAGATTCCAGTTACACCAACTCTCTTTTTGCAGTGCTTAAAAAATCAAGCTTATAATTCTTTGGTTTGCAGATGTTTATGTATTCTGCTGTAGCTCAACAAATTTTTATCCACTTAAATATTTAGGTTTGTAGTCCTGAAAATTTATAAGAGAGTAAGTCCCATTGAAATCCGAGGACCTTACCTTGATTAAGTTTGTCTAGGATTGGCTGCAATCCTGTTGCTTAATGCAGTAATTGCACTAGACTAGCCACATTGAAATGAATGGAACTTACAGAGTAATTGCTTCAATAAATCCCAATTGATTCAGTGGTCCTACTCTAGTGCATTTCCTACTCTAAGAAACAGGATTTTGGTCATTGTATTATTGTAGGAAAGGTATATGGTTTTTTTGTTTTGTTTTTGTTTGTTTGGGGTTTTTTTTGTTTTTTGTTTTTTTTGAAAGAGAAGAGCAGGAGTTTCCATATATAGAAAACAACTTCAACATTTTCATCATGTTACCTGTAAAGATAAATTTCTCTGTGGGTTGAGTCAATTTTGCATTCCTGATATGGGGAATCAACAGAACTAGTCCACCATACAATTTTTAAAAAGGAAACATGTTTTTCTTTGCTGGAGACATATTCAAGCTTGGGGACTTATATGCCTCTTTCTGCAACCCTTATGCTGCAGATAACAAGGGACACGGAATGGGCTTCATCTCCCATATTTTACATTAGTCCCAAACATAAGCAGCTCACAGACCTATTACCTCAGAGGCTAGTGTGAGAAGCTCAGAAGGAGAGAAAGGTGGTTGCACTACAGAAACTGTAAGGGGAGAAGGAAAGGAAGAGCAAATGGCTACATAGTATGCCTTCCCACCTTTCCACTTTCTCTTTTAGAAGTGGGAAAGGTATTTCATTTTTTGTTAGCTGATTTTCTGTATCTTATTACTGGTGCCATCTAGACCCCAATTGATTGTTTCTCCGTGGGTCAACAGCCTTTGTAGGAAAAAGGTTTCTGATCTATGTGCTGATTTTCAGAAGAAATACTTCTTAGCCCTAAAGTATGTACGTATGTACTAGGGGAAAGACCATGGATCAGTTGAAATCTTACTGACTCCCCCACAGCTTTTCGTAGCTTTTCATATTTCACTGTGCATGTGGCATGCTTGAATATCACATCGAGCAAGGATTTTGCAGAAGCCTTAGCTTGCTGGATGACAAGCCATGTGCTGCTTCTTGTTTTCCTGGGAAATCTCATTTTCAGCAGGAGCTACTAAACAAATCACAGCTTCAGCCCATGCTTTGTTCACTGTACTGTGTGAACCTAGCAGCAGCAGTTACTCTGGCTTGTTTGTCTCCAAACAAGTCAGATGGAATTCAGGGTTTGTTATTGGCTCAATACTTTGGCTTGTTGGGTGGAGGAGGAAATAATCCATAGCTTTAGCTTTTTGCTTGGTTTTATGTCACACTATATCCAAGGTGGGCAGCAGATGGCTATATTTGGGGGCCTCAGCTGCCAAAGTTGGGTCTCACAACAACATTTTAAAAAACATTTTAGCTTTAAAGGAGCAGGTATAATTTTTCTTTGTAGCAAAATACATGTGCTTCATGCACCTTCTTTCAACATAAAATGTTGTGGGTGAAGGCAACTATAAGTGGACTGGTATAGAGATTGCAAGTGTGATTGATTGGTCAGTGCCATGCTCCCCAGCTATAGTAAACTAGAGTTCCTGAAGACTGATCACTGGCAGTTGTGTGTAAATTAGTTCATTTTGGTTGCCTGCTAATTTTAGGTTCAAGCTATTTTTTTTTAACCTATGGATACTGGAAACTAGCTTTATATATAGAAAGCAACTTGAGTGAGCAAAGATTTCGAGAGATCACCTTCTGCCTTTATTTAGCTTGATTATAGTTGGTCAGTTGTGTTATGTTTAATATTTTCATTGTAAACTATCGTGTAAGGACTTCTCTGTGAGGTGCAAAAGATATTAATAAATGAATAATATGTCCAATCCACTTCAGTTTATTATCTGTTTACAAGAGTGACTGAACAGTGCTAAAAACTCATTGTATACAATTTATATATTGTATTTGTAAAAGCAGCTTAAGAGTAGATCCGTTCTAGATAGGCGGTATATAAATCTAATAAATAAATAAAATAAATAAGAGAATGTGCATGTTTCACTTTTTCATTTTCACTCAGTTTTTTCCCTTCCCAGTTGTAGATTTGCCCTGGCTATTTACCTTTAATGTGAAGTTTTACCCACCTGATCCTTCACTGTTAACTGAAGACATCACCAGGTACATCATTAATCCATTCATACATAACTTTGGATCTTGTGAATCTTATGTTGTCATAGATAACTTTATAAAATTGTAGATCTTGTAAACCTTAGAAAAAATAGCTGAGATTCAGAATTGTGGAAATAGTTCTGTATCCTAACATCTTGAGCTGTTTTTAATATGTTAGCTGCTTATGCAGTCTCAACACCCTAAGTTCCAAAGTATTTATCATGAGTCTAAGACACAGCAAGTGGATATATATGTGTGTTACTTTATACATAAGTGCTACTTTAGATGGATTTCCTGGAGAAAAGATTTTTAATATGAAGAGATGAGTTTTATTGTTGTGGGAGGACTATAGAGTAGAAGGCAAAAGTCTGAACAAAAGGAAAAGTACACTGATTCAATAGCAAATGTTCCAACAGTGTAGGTCATTAAAAGGGTAAGTGAAGGGTGTAACATCTTCTCTGTTGAAAGAACGCTTCAATAAGCATATTTTGATTTGAATTAAAATAGTTTATAAGAGGAATGTTCTGTCCTCAAAATATATGAATCTGGTATTGTTGTGGTCATCTGGATGCTCTTCAGGAGGCACCATGATGCAGTATCTACTCCCAATTCAGTAAAATACTCTTAAGTTTTCAGTTTGAACCAGCTGCTTTCGTTCAACTAAACTCTTCAGCTTCATCTGAACAATCTTGCAAAATGGCTTATTTAAGTTGTATCTTGGTTTGCCAAAATTCGGAGTAGTTAGGTGCCAAATTCTGTTACACTTTTTGTGTGTTTCTCTTGGGAAAGGCAATGCAGTGATTTGCATTTGAATTAGTAGTACTTATGTTTGGAAGATGTTGGGAAATAAAGAGTATAGTTTTGCATGGCTAAAACTGGTAGATATGAACAAACCTGTCTTGTTTCATTGCTTCCAAAGTGCACTGCATACATTGAACTAATTCAGTAGCACATGTTTTTCTTTTTAAATGCTGAAAGTTGTAATTAAAACTAATAAGCAATAATAGGCTATTCTACAGCCTAATTTAAATATTGTATAAGCTAATAGTGAAAATAAAATGTCTACTTTTTATATATATTTTAAGCACAATTCTATTTGTACTAAGACACTAAAGATTCACAACACACATCTATTTGCATGAAAATAGATTACATTTGATATTGTTAACACATGCTAAAAGATATTCTTACAATTTCCCAAAGGCTTCGCAGATCACCATTAATTAATCAAGACTAAATATTGTTTCCAGACTTCCTAACATGTCAGTAGTTTCTGCTTTCTCAGGATAAATAGGAAATATTTGTCTGAGGGATATCATTTTTCTCCTTTCAGATACTTCCTGTGTTTGCAACTTCGCCAAGATATTGCTTCTGGACGGCTACCATGTTCTTTTGTGACTCATGCACTCCTTGGTTCATATACACTACAAGCTGAATTAGGTGACTATGATCCAGAAGAACACAACAATGATTACATAGGGGAATTTCAGTTTGCACCCAACCAAACAAAAGAAATGGAGGAAAAAGTAGTCGAGTTACACAAAACACACAGGTATATCACCTTTTGAACACTAGAACTACAGTCCTTTCCCCTTTCCCTTTGCTAATACTGTGTTGTGGTGTATTTCAGGGGGCAAATGCTGTGTCAATCCCCACTAGAGTGACCCCTTTGAAATCTGTGTGACTTAGATAAATGATGACTAACACATGCCTCTCATTTCAGTGCATCAACTCCAGTTAGTCTTAAAATTGAGTTTCGCAATAAGTATTATACTAATAACTGTAATATTAAGCTTTGATGTTTACTTATAGTTTTGATTTAGAACATTTGGGAATGTTCAAGCTTGAATAGTTTTTGTTTTTGTTCTAGCTAAAGGTATTTTGTAGATCTTATATGGAAACATAGCTAAAGGTTGTTCAATTGACTTATTTAGCAAAAATGATAGTAAACCCTTCAGATGGAAAAAGGTCAGGTAGAGCTTATAGTTCTGAATCTGTACTGTGTATGTGGGGCTGCCGCTGGAAAGTGTTCGGAAAATTCAGCAGTTCCAAAGCACTGCATCCAGACTGTAATTGGGGCTGGTTACAAGGATCACATTGGTTGGACAGTGTCACTGAAGCTACCAACATGAATTTGGCCCAACTCCGTGAGGCAGTGGAAGACTGGAGGGCCTGGCATGCTCTGGTCCATGGGGTCACGAAGAGTCGTACATGACTTAACGACTAAACAACAACAAGGATCACATACCTCTTCTCTTACTGCAGCTGCACTGGCTGTGGATCCATTTCCGGGTACAATTCAGAGTGCTGGTTTTAACTTATCAAGTCCTAAATGGCTTGGGTCCAAGCTATCTCAGAACTACATCTCCCTTTATGAGCCTGCTCAAAATGTTAAGAACATTAGGGGAGGCCTTTCTGTCAGTCTCACCACCATCACAGATGTGTTTGGTGGAGACACAGATGACGGCCTTCTCTGTCACTGCTTTCAGACTCTGGAACTCCCTCCCATGGTTGGCGAGGCTGGCCCCGTCTTTGTTGTCCTTTCACAAGCAGGAAAAGAGCGTTCTCCTTATGCAGTTTTTTTCTTAGTGAGTGGCTGTCTAAGAGAGGTTTTAAATTGGGATGGTTTGTATTTTTGTTGCTTTTAAATCTGTTTTAGGAATGCTTTTACCTAACATTGTAAATATGTTTAATTCTTTTTTATATTTGAATAATTTACTGTTTTTAGTTTTTAATACTGTATTGTGTTTTTAATGGTATAAGCCACCTTGATGAGAGAGAGAGAGGGAGATAAAGGCAGCAATAATCTGTTTTCAGAATGCATTTCAGTAGCTATGCCTATCTGGTTTCCATTTTACCTACATGACTCCCCCTCTTTTTACTGATAGCAATATCTAGCTCAATTTTGTGATGAGACCATTTGAACCAACCATTTCTTGATATTCCAAGTTATTGAGGAAGCACTACTTTCATTTTAATGTACAGAGTTGTAAATTATTTTTTAAAAAATAGGTTCTAGAGGCAGTCACTAACAACACAATTGTCCGTTCAATGCATTTAAAGGGGAAAAACAAAAAATCACCAAAAAATTAACGAAGACTCAGAACAGAGCCAAATTAAGTTTGCACATGTCTCACAAGGTGGACTACCGATTCCAAGCATTTAAAACAGGTTTCAAACATTTTAAGACACTTAAAAATGAGCGAAAACGGACATCGTTAAGTGAAAATCCCCCATAGAGAACATCGTTAAACGATGCGGAAAATTCCTCCAAGAAATACATCGTTAAGTGAATTCTTCGTTAAACGAAGCAATCGCTAAGCGAGGCAACCACTGTATAACAGTTTCTGGTAAGCCTGTTGCTAACAAAGCAGTTGTCAAATACCATATCCGTTTATTTCAGTCCTTTTTCTACAAATGCATGAGTTGGCCTTGGATATGAAATTTGCGTTTAGCTGAGGCATTGTACTGATGAGGAGCAGGTCCTTGTGTAGATAAAATACTAGTTACTGCTACTCCATTCAAAAGTGTTTGGCTAACCATTGTCAGAAACAGAATGCCAGTCTAGATTGGTTAGATTTGATCAAGCAAATATATGTTGTTCAACATAGTAATTTTGCCTTTTCCTCTTCCTTTTATAAATACTTTCAGAGGGTTGACACCGGCACAGGCTGATTCTCAGTTTTTAGAAAATGCCAAGAGGCTTTCCATGTATGGAGTGGATTTACATCCTGCTAAGGTATTGGTCAGCACTTTTTCGGTTACCATGGGGGGAAATCTGAATTTCCTATATAGGGCTCCTGATCTACAGACTCCCTATGAGAGACTTAATGGATTTGTGTTCTTCACACACCTGTCAGGGAACTTGGTTGTGGTCTCAGAAGATATTGTGCCTTGTTTATATTCAATTAATTGAATACAAACAACCCTTTAGTATTTTGGAAATTCAAAAATGAGTCCTCCTTTAAAAGATTTATTTACCAAGCAGCATTAGGGCTTATTTTCAGGGGATGTTTTATTTTTGTCATGTACAACCATCACATTTATTCAAATGCAGTCATGTCATCTTCTGGTTGACTGTAGATATACAGTCCTCTAATATAACACTCATAGATAGATAATATTTCCTCTATATAAAAAAATAACATTGGTTCTAATGAAATATGGGCTTCTGTTTAAACAGCAAAAACTTAAGTTTTAGTAATCTAAAGGATACAGGGATAAACTATTTCCAATTAGTCACAAGCTATTTTCTTAACAACAAGCTACCAGTTAGATAAAACTCTTTTATAGTCACTTAAAAAATTCTGTTGCAATACATATTATCATTAAAAACAATTTCAGTACAGTTGAGTCTTGACTTACGGTCGGCTGCACTTACGTACTTTTCGACCTACGGACTTCTTTGGCCGCAGTTTCACTTTGACTTGTGGTCGGAGATTCGACCTACGGACTAGAAGGGGGAGGCGGGCAAAGCGCCTCCCCCTTCCAGTCTGTAGGCCGTTGGTCGTGCCTCCTGATGCCTTCCAGGGCTCCACCACCATGGGAGGCATCTCGGAGGTCCCCCCACCGCCGATAGTGCTTCAGAGCCACTATCGGCGGCAGGGGGGATCTCCAAGATGCCTCCCATGGCAGCGGAGAAGCCCTGGAAGGCATCTGGAGGTCCCCTGCCACTGCCACCCCTGCTGGGAGCCGCGTCGTGCCGGGTAATCCTCCGAGCATGGCTGGGATCTCCCGGCACGGCTTGGCTCCCAGCAGCAGCGATGGCGGCAGTGGGGGAGCTCTGAGAGACCTCCGGCAGTGGCACTGAAGCCCTCAGAGTCCTCCAGCAGCAGTGATGGCGGCAGTGGGGGAGCTCTGAGAGACCTCCGGCAGTGGCGCCGAAGCTCTCGGAGTCCTCCAGCAGCAGCGATGGCAGCGGTGGGGGACCCCTGGAAGGCTTCAGAAAGGTAAGGGTTTGTTTTTACATTTTTATTTTTATTTTGTGGGGGGGTTTCTTGGGCGGGTTACAGATTAAATGGTTTTCAGTGCATTTCTATGGGGAATGCTTTTTGACCTGCGTACTTTTCGACCTACGGACTCCGTTCCAATACGGATTACAGTGGTGCCTCGCACAACGAGTGCACCGTAGAACGACGAATCCGCACAACGGGGCCGTTCTAGCAATCGCAAATGCGATCGCACACCGACGGCCCCTATGGCTCAAATTCGCAGAGCGAAGGGGGGGAAGCAGTTCGCTTACCGACCTTCGCTTTGCAACCCGCCGATCAGCTGTTCGGCGGCTTCAAAATGGCCGCTGGAAGCCCCCAAATGGCCGCGCGCAGCATTTTCGTGCCCTCGTTAAGCGAGGGAAGGGCGCGAAAATGGCTGCCGGCCATCGGAGAAACATCGCTGTGCGGTGAGTAAAGCTGCTATTGGAACGCATTAAACTAAGTTTAATGCGTTCCAATGGCTTTTTTTGATCCGTACAGTGATGTTTTCACACAGCGAGGGTTAATCCGGAACGGATTAACCTCACTGTGCGAGGCACCACTGTAATTCCGTAGGTTGAGACCCCACTGTATAGCATAAACAAAGTAAATAATTCACACCACATTGGATAATTCTTACCCACTTTCCTGCAGAGATGTATACCTTGTTTGCAAAAACAGATGTCTATGTGCTTGGGAGATGTTCCGTAGAAATGATGGAAATTTCTGTTTATATACTTTTGATGTTTTGATTTGGTCAAAACATTGTGACGGAGAACTTTAGCTTTGCCATAGATATGGGCTGTCCTTGGGTACCTCACTGATAGGGCAGCCCCCACCTTTGGAGTAACTTCCTTAGCACCATATTTGGGCAGTACAATACATTTTGAATGTCAGTTTTATACTTTTTATATTTACTGTGTTCCCCATTTAAACCTCATTTATTTTTTCCTGTCATATACCGTATTTTTCGCACCATAAGACGCACTTTTCCCCCACAAAACAGGGGGGTGGAAAGTCTGTGCATCTTATGGAGTGAAGAAAACAGATTATATTTTCCTGTTTTCTTCTCCTAAAAAATTGGTGCGTCTTATGGAAAGGTGCGTCTTATGGAGTGAAAAATACGGTATCCTTTTCCAGCTCCTATAATTGACAATTTCAGTAGAATATATTTTTTCATTTATAAAATATAGGAGGTTCCAATATCTAAAATCCTGTTTGCACAATGTGTAGAGCTAAGTTGCTTTTGAGGAAGGGAAATTAATGCTGTTGTCATCAAATCTCTGATGATGTGGACTGAAAAACTACCACAGGTGTGTGTTGCAAACCCTTTATGTCCAGTATTCATATTGGTTTACACTAGATATGGCGACAAAGCGCCAAACTGGTGCTTTGTCTTGCTTCGTGGGTTGTCAAACTTGAACCAGGAATTGCTCCCCCAGTGACCCAAGGAAGAACGAATCAATTTGTCATTTGTCAGGTCTTTTATTTTATTTTACAGTGGTGCCTCACATTACGACGTTAATTCGTTCCAGTGAAATCGCTGTAGAACGAAAACATCGTAATGCAAAATAAAAAAGCCCATAGAAACGCATTAAAACCCGATTAGATTATTCCTGTTGGCTTGAGACTCACCGTCCAGCGAAGATCCTCCATAGCGCGGCCATTTTCGCTGCCCATGCAGTGAGGAATCCGTCCCAGAAAAGAGCGGGGAGCCATTTTTTTTACCAGGCGGCCATTTTGAAACTGCCGATCAGCTGGCCAAAAATCGTCATTTTGCGAGAATCAGTTCCCGAAGCAGGGAACCAATCATTGGCGCAGTGGTTAAAATGCTGTACTGCAGCTAAAACTGTGCTCAGGACCTGGGGTTCAAATCCCAGGTAGC